CCCCCCCTCTCCCCCCCCTCCCTCCCCGTGTCCCTGTCCCGGTGGTCTCTCAGGGGAACCGAGTCCTTGGGCAGTGGTCTCCCGGGGAAACCGAGTCCTTGGGCAGGCTCTGGAGAGGTTCGGTTGAGCAAATCGAAAATCCCTATGCAGGTGCCTTGTGAGTGTACATTATTTTCAGTTAAAACCTTGTGCCTTCCTTTTGTAGCAATGCGTATAAGGGGCGTGCTGTAATGTAGTCATCTGACAAATTGCTCCTCCGTCCCCCAAAGGAACTGCCTGCAGGATCTGACTAACTCTGGATGCACCCGGCTGTCATCTTAATTTCTCCTTTAGGTTGTTTAAAACAACCCAATTGGGTGACGTTTGTTTTTGTTTCTTAAGGATTGGATCGCAGAGATTTCTCTTTTCTTCATGTTTATAATGAGAGTGCAAAAGCAGCGATCAGTGTGTGGAGTCTGCAGATTGTTCCCAGAACTGGTGCTTTGGGGTGCATGCTGCACTCGGAGATTGAGCTCTGGGCCATGCTTTCAAAATAAAGCACTCTGTTATTTGATTGTAAAAAAGGAGATCTCCTGGGGATAGGGAATTTTGAAATTATATCAGAACCACCACTGTGGCACATGGTTGAATTTGGCACACATTAAACTGATCAGGCTGAACAGATAGGCTGAATTTGTTGCTGGATGGCCAGGTGTTTCAGGAGAAAAGCTAGTCTAGATAAAACTTCCTCTTGCTGTCGCTTCTCATTTAAAATGGCACCCTTCCAAATGTCTGCTTCCAGGGGAAATTGACTCTTTTTGAGATGTAATAAAACATTTCAGTGAGGAAGATGAATGGTCATAGTAAAGTGCTGCCAGGCTCTGGTTTTCATTTCAGAAATAGAAAAAGAATAAGTGTCTTTTCTTTAAGTATGCTTGTCTCACTCAAGAGTAGATGTAGCAGCTTTAGCAGTCCCCTTAGTTTGGAATTGATTCCCGATGCCCATTCAGGCACCAAGGAGGAAAAGCTGGTGGACAGAGAGAACGATAGAGGAGAGCCACACACTAAAAATATAGGGAAGAAGGGGTTATGCATTAAGGGAAAGCCACTACATTAAAAATTGGCGCTATCTAAAAATTTGTTAAGGATTTTGGACCTGCAGGTGCTGCTACACCTGTGCGTGCTGCCATCATGTTGTTGCCACTGAGCAAGAAGAAGGAGAGAGCTTCCTTATTGAACGCAATATGTTAAAGCGTGCACTGTTGCCTGGAAGAAGAGCAAAGGCTTCCATTGTGTGGAGCTTTGGATCTGTGGTTCACCCGATGGGCCATGTCCAGAATTAAAAAAAAAAAAAAAATAATAATAATCGGCGGTGGCAAGCCAGGTACTCATCTGGGGACACTGACTCTTCGGTGACATCTCCAAGCAGAGTGTTGTGTATGTTGGGCTGTGGCTAACAGCCAGGGGTCACAGCTGTGAGCGCTGTAGGGAGGGTGAATGCCCGTAACGTGTCTGTGTCGGTCATCTCCCCAGACGGCAGTTTTAGCAGTGGGAGTTTGATGTATGTTCCCAGCTCTCATGTCAGCCGTGATGGTGTGGCAGAGCCAGCGGGCTGGTTTGTCAACTGGAAGAGGAGAAGGAGTGAACTGCAAATGTGCCCGGGTAAACGACAGCTGTCAAAGAGATTTGCTGTAAATGTGCGTCGTACCAGTGCAGCCATTGCAGCTGCAGCAATAGTGGATCGTGGAGCATCTGGAGAAGATAGAGTTTTCTTCATGAAAGCAATACTATCAAAACCTTTTTGATGCCAGAAATGAGGACACGCATCTGTTGTCTGGAACTTCTCAGCTGACCCTCAGTATACTTGGCACGCTCCTTGCAATGTTTAAAAAGTGTGTCAGGCAGGGCAGGGACTCGCCTTGGACTTCCTTATTGCGGCAACACTTGCAGACCATGCACCCTGCATCCTGGGCCAGGACCTAAATGCGATGGTGGTATCGGTAACCTGAAGCTCAGGAAGCGCTTCTGGATTTTTCTACTGTTCCACGTGAGTCTTTGCCCCACGAAGGTGATGTATTGAGCTATTTCTTTTCAACAGATAGGTTTAGAGCCAGTTGTGGTTTAACATCCCCAGGCTTGGGTGTTCCTGTTCCATCTTTGCCTACTGACCAGGTGCTTGGTAAGAGAAAGGACATGGATCGTAGCCATGGGACTCAGAGCCTTAACTACATACTAGGAAGGAAATCAGATATGAGAATGCACTTAAATAACAGATCAACAGAGCTATTATAAAATTGATTATTGAAGACACTTTTTTTCAAGGCCAACTTAGGAGAAGTTCATACAGATTGCAAGACAGTTTCTGTCTGTAGGATGTGACTGTACAGCATTGTAGAAGAAACGTTTTTTGTGGCTTTGGAGAAAGCACAACACAAAAATACATGTTTAACTGTTGATATGTGGACCCTGAACCAACCATGGACTACTTGACAGCGATGACCCACTGGATATCTTTTGATACACTGCACCAGCAGAAATCCCCTTTTAGAAAACAGGCAGCTCCCACTGTCTTTGCTAAAACATCTGCAGTAGCAAGTGTCCTACAAGAACCAAGTTCCCAAATTGATGTGTGGCTTTCCCTTAATCCCCTCACCCCTGCCTTTCCAGCTTCCGACAACACTGCTGATGCTGTGTGTGCAGTGCTAGGTGCCAACTGCCGTGTTTTAGATTTAAAAAATGTTAAAATTAGTGATTCAGGACTTTGAGCACTGGAGCGCTGAGAACAGGTTAGCAGTTGCTGAAAAGATTTGCATCAAATTCTTCAGGAACTCCAGCATTCAAACCATCTTCCACAGGATCACTTGAAGCAGGAAATAGCTGCTCAGCGAACCTCTCTCTGCCTTTTATATGTTAAAGTGGCGTTAAAACAGCAGAAGGTGGAGCAGCATGCTCCTGGGAGGGAGAATGGGGCTATTCTCAGCTCATTCCAGCTGTCCCAGATGTCTGATGGGTGCAAGATCCCTGGCCTGCAGGTGGAAGCCCATAGGGAACTGCGGTTCTTAGTCAAGTGCTGCTGTTGGTCACATCCTTCTGGCATATGCAGAGCTGGTGGAAAGACTTTGAAATCAAAGGTGTCACTGTCGCTCTTGGACTGGGAGATGGGTGAAATATCTTAGGCTTGAAACTGGTTTTCTGCACAGTAGTGTGCTCAGATCTGAACACTTTATCTTGGCCACTTCACTAGATCCCTGCTATAAAGGTTGCTTTGAAGAATTCTTTCTCCTGCCTCTTGATGTGTCAAGTTAAAGACAGATCTGTACTGGAGCAGTGTCTGATCTCATGAGTGCTTCGGTACAGGGTTATTCTTTGACAGTTACAGAAACACAAGGCCAATCAGCCCTTTCAGGAACAGATTGATTTGCCTCTCATCTTAAGGAAGAATGTCCTAATTCAGGTCCCTGAAGTGGCACATCTTCAAATAGAGTTGATCCAGCTGGCAAGGGGCAGCTGTGCCTCGTGGTTGTGAGAACTCACGGCTCTGGCTCTCAGTGAAAGGTGACCTCGACTCAATGGCAGAGGAAGCTGAGACGATCATCTGCTTTAACCTTTGCCTTCTTGGCTGGCACCCTTGCAGTCTTTGCTCTGAGAGGGTCTTGAGTGCTCTAATCCCCAGCCTCAGAGCGTGCCGCCAGTTCACGTTTAGACAGTATTTAACAGCTAGAATTGAATAAAACAAATGTGAAGGGTAGAAATTATGACTATTCTGCTTCAGCTTTGGACACCTTAGCTTTTGCTTTTCAGAGAGTGAGATGTGTTAGCAGGAGGTTCTGTTTTTCAGAAGACACGAAGGTGCGTGATTTGCGTACGCATGATGATGCGGTGTTCCGTGTCTGTTTGTGACGTGTACGCATAGCGCGTTCCCAGCCTGCGGAGTGCAGTTACAAGCGGGTCAGTCAGCAGTGGCTGTTCTGCAGCTGACCTGCAGCTGGTAATGCTGACCGATTGAAAAGGAGAGTTAAAACATAAAGAGTTCCTGGTGCTCTTCCTTCCTTGTCAGCTGACTGTCCTGACAAACAGGGGATTAAGCATCTTTAATTTTTGCAAGAAATTGAAGGCACAAAGTAGCCAGCAAGAGCGACTGTCCAAGTGAAATACTTTGTGCTTCAGAACCGAGAAGTAACCAGAGGTAGGTGTAGTAATACTTCTCTTATGCATTAGTTAGGGTACAAACACATTTTGTTCCCTTCTTGCTCTGCAGTACCGAACAAAGGCAGGTCAACAAGCCTGTAAAACAGACTAGATAGACTTCCATTGTACTGTTTATCTTGCCTTAGCAAAGGTAAAGTTTATGGCGCTTGTTGGCTTGTTTTTCCTGATTCTTCGCTACTGCATCTGTAATTATTTTTTATTTTTACAAAATGAATTCAAAATCACTTAATACAAAACCTTTACTAGAGATCTGGAGAAAAAAAGAAGTGTTTATCATCATTAGAGACCTGCTGAGTGCACCAGAGTTACTCATTTTTGTTCGGACTTTCAGGGGTTAGTTCTGTTGGTGTCTGTGTAGCACTCAGATTGCCAATTTAACTGACACTAGTTAAAAAAAAAAGGTTTTGAGTTAACCTTTTTTAAAATGAAAGGATTTTTATGGTGTTTAGAATTTCGAGGGTTTTTTCTTTTTTGAGGGGGGCGGAGTCGTGTGTTTGTTTTTAAAGTTTTGCTTTTTTTTCTCCATTCCTTAAACAAGATCCATTCAAATTCTGAACAGCTCTTGAAATCTGCTTAGGAATATGGAAGGCAACAAGCAAAATACTGAGCTGCTTGGGGCATTCAAAAGAGCTAAATCTGAGAGGATTTCTTTTTTTTTTTTTTTTTCTGCCGTGGTGGATATAGTAATGTTGCATTATAGAGGTGTCTCTCACTTCCTAGGGAAAAGAAACACCTTCTTCTAGACCATGAATTCCTTCTGATTTGTATTTGAATGCCTCTGCTCGGCAAAGCAGTGGTCCTTAATTGCCATCTATTTTGAGTGTTGGCTTGTGCAAACTGAAGAAACGTACTTGAAATTTAACTGTCAATGGTATTGGTAACACATTTGGAAAAAAATTTCTTGTAATTTCTACATGAAGCAGCAGCAGTAATTTTTAGAAGCAGATGCATAGGAATCTCTATGGCACAAAGTCTGGTTTTGAAGGTGCTAAAGGTCAAAAGTGAATAGTCCTATTGATACTGAAGAAGGGAAGAAAACCTTGCAATTAACTACTGTTTTTATTCCCTTTGTCAAGCAGTCAAAAAACAATAACTAATATGAGAACCCAACTTTTCCTCTCTTTATTTTAGATTTGGGAAAATTCCCTGCCAAAAAAAAAATTTCCTGGAAAATTCACTAGTGTTTGTGTGAGTAAAAGGTTCCAACCTTTTATTATTAATTTCTAAGAACTATTTTGTTCAGTTTTGTCCAAAAGAGTCAGAAATACTTTGCACATAAATGTGCAGCCTTTTAATGAAAGGGGTCAGAATCATTTTAATTTCAACTTTATCTGGTCTGGTTGCAGGTTTTATGACATTTAGTATCTTTGAAAAAAATGAGAATCAAAGTATCTGACTTCCCATAAAAAAAAAAAAAATAATAAAAAAAAAAAGCTTGTGGCTAAATAAAATCAGTTTCAGCTCTGGTGGTACCCAAAAATCACCAGCTGTTGAATTGGACCTAAGCCATCTTTTCAAACTTCCTGTGATCTTGCAGCCATGGATAATGATGGATCTGTATGGATTAGGGAACAGCATGTGATGGCACACTTGCAGTATTTGCTCTGATGTAAAAAGAAAACAAGTTATTCCCTAAAATCAAAATAATTCAAAATTATTGGTATCATGCAGCCATGCCACTGCAAAGTGAGCATTTCCCTGCCTCTCAAAGCTTGCTGTATCCTTGATCTGCTGTCTTCCTGCTGTTAATTGATTGCAACTCTACGTGTCTGATCAGAGCTAAAAGTTGTTCCTCGATACGGATATCATACAACATATACTGTGCACGCTTGTGTGTATAGATATGTTTATACTGTATGCATGTACATATGTATGCATATTTGTGTGCTGGCCCCAAAATCACTCATGTTATTAAGTATCAGCCTGGAAGGCATATTCATCAAAATATTACATAGATCTTTCATTTTTGCCAGTTCCCTCAAAATGAGAGACTTTTTATGCAGTATTACGTGGCAAATAGCCCAAAATTCTAATTTTTACTATCACTCTTGCTGACTTTATTATCACTCACTCTTGGTGTGTGTATAAACACAGATGTGTATGTATATACATATTTGTGTATTTATACGCACAAGTATGTTTTTGTTGTACAGGTAATAAAGATGGGGGAAGGTTTTTCTGTTTTCTTAATAGGTGAAGAAATCTTGAAGACCAGAAATTGCAAGTTACTGAATTATAAATTAAAAAAAAAAAAAAAAAAAAATTAAAATTGTCCGGCTGTGGAAGATGGATCCTCATTTTTGCAGCCACTTTGAATCACAAGTTCATCTTTAAATGCACTGGGTTTTTTGTTGGTTTTTTTTTGGTTTTTTTGAAGAGCTAACTAACCCTGGCTGTCTCCAGTCTGACAGTATTCAAATGGACTTGCTTCCTCCATTAGTTGTAAGATGTTTAAAAGCACATCCTATGTTTGAATTGTGGATGAGAGGTTCCCTTGGCAATGTGAGGAGGAAAATTCTTTCTACCCCTTTATTATTAATTCACGGATTCAGTGTTGGTTCGGCCTACAGGAGAAGTTAACTGGAAGTCTTTGAAGATCAATAACCTTTGCTGAAGTTGTCCAGGTATGTGAACTTGAAGATCCATAGTGATTGGAAAATAATGTTTAATATGTCAATTGTATTTTATAGAAATTACTAATACTGACGGTTAATCATTGACTGATAATGCAAGTGTATGAATAATTTTTTAAGAAGTGACTCTCTTATTTGGCTTTCAGCCACATGCAGTTGTTTCTTCTGTGCTTCAAGGCGTGTAAGTATTACTAAGGACACAGAAGAGAACACTTGCTGACAAAGCCCATGCAGTTTTACAGAAGTTTGACGTAGTATTGTGACAGTTTTTGTGACCAGCTGATTTCAAGACATTGGCCCCCTCATGAGACTAATTTGGTTAACATAAACAGCTGTGAAAATGCTTATGACTTAATTACTTTTCACTTATTGCTACCTTCCTTTAGGGTTACTTTTAAAAAGAAGATTTCACTGATCAAGCCAGTAGAAGATTTTCAGTCCAAGAAAGAGTGAAGCCAGCTCTTGCCAAGAGTGGAGGAAGTCCCTGTTGAGCGAACCCTTAGAACCTGAGCTTGATCGTTCTTAGAACCTGAATTAGTCCGTTATGTCTAAACAAGGAGATGATTGCTACTTCTATTTCTATTCCACGTGTAATAAGGCATGTTTGGGTTTCTTTTGCCTTTTTTTTTCCTTTTTAGTTTTTAAGAGAGGAGGGGGAAGAGTGGGAAGAGACATGCAGATTTTGGGTACCTTAATAAGTGGTTCGATTCTGCTTCCAATTCTAATAGCATGGACATTTTTTTAGGCTGTACTGTTTTATATTCCTTTTTGTTGATTTCCTTTTGATTACAGGGAGACAGCTGTTCCTTCCGCCACTGTGAAGCTGCTCTGGGAAATGAAACAGTCTGCACACTGTGGAAGGAGGGTCGCTGTTTCAGGAATATCTGCAGATTCAGACACATGGAAATCAATGTGAGTGTTTGACTAAAGATGTGTTCTCAAGCTAAGTCACTGAAAGCATTTTTCATTGCTGTAGGTGGACTGAATGTGCTTTTACATGATAGATTTACTTGCTATAAAATGGTACTGGTTTCTATTATTGGTAGGGCAATGGCAGCAGGTTGGGGGAAGAAAAATCAATGTCCTTGGTATATGTCAGCAAGAAATTTTTGTATTAGGTGCTGACAATATTTTCTTAACAGAGGAAAAAGAGGAAAAAACCACATTGATCATACTGCTGAATGTGCTGGGGCAGGGTGGTAGTAAACAGCCCGCGCTAGCCTCCTGAGGGCTAGGCTTGATAACGCCTGTCGGGTCTCTTCTGTCCTGGATTTCTTCAGATAATGTTGTTCTAACTTCTTGGGGTAGCACAGGGTGGGGGGAGAAAAGGTGGGAAGGAACTAAGACTCTGAAAAGCTAAGTTCAGATAAATTTAGCCTAGGCAATTTAAAACATTTTTCCCTCGGAAGAATCCCAAAGGATAACTAAGTTAGTTAAACTATTAACCCACTTTGAATTGATGTG